GGCAGCTTGGGCTAGTTGGTATGGCATGACGATAGTTATAGCGCGAGAACAAAACGACGACACAGAGACAAGAAGGACACGAAAGACACGAGCGCTCGTGTCTTTCGCGTCCTTCTTGTCTCTGTGTCATCGTTTTGTTCTCACGCTATAACAATCGTAGAATCCTGGGGTTGCATGCTGCGCGTGAGAGCGTGCGTGTGAAGAAGGAGCTGCGAAGGTTTGCGCTTAGCAAGCTCTGCGGTCACAAGTTGTCACACGTTTTCTTCATCCGAAGGTGACAGGCGACGTATGTCTTTGGTCTTCAGGCATTCGTGAAGACTGGCTGGTTGTGGGTTGATAAGGACATCCCGGGCCTCATTTACACAACGGCGTGCAGGTTGGCAACGACGTAATCGTAGCGGGTACAGTCGTGAGTGATGCCTCCCAAGAAGAATTGGGAATTAACTTGGGTGAACCATACAACGGCTGAGTTAGGCCAAAACGGCGGAAACTTGACAGGGGCACGCCAGGCGTCGTGTAGAGCAACTTGTGGCCTGTCATCTGCAGGGGCTCTGACGCCTTCGTTGGAGTTGTCGCGCACCTAGTGCCTGCTTTGTGGAGGTGTTGCCGCTATATGCTGCTATCGCTGGGTCTGCAGTTTCTGTTGAAGTTGATGCACTTACTAGCTAAGAGTATCACGGGCTTCGGGGTCGGTCATGGCAGCGAGATTTGCTTGCTTTCCGGGTCACTAGATGTGGAATGCCGGTACGACAAAGGACGAATTTAAACATCAAAACCTAACTGCTTATTGTATTTATATAAAAGAGCATCAGATCGGGCATATTGACGCAGCGCTCGTCAGATGTATTGATTAATATGTGCGGTTTCCCAAAACCATCATATGATTATAAGAGACGCAGTAGTGGAGGGATCCGAAAATTTCGACCACCTGGGGTTCTTGACCGTGTACCCAGATCTGAGCACACGGGCCTGCAGCATTTCCGCCTCCATCAGAAATGCAGCCACCACAGCCGGGATTAGATCCCGCGACCTGCGGGTCAGCAGCCGAGTACCATAGCCACTAGACCACCATGGCGGGGCGCTCGTGAGAGGTATTGAAGCAATGATGAAATATAGCTTCACAGCTTTGGTTTTATAGCCGCCAGTGGTGACGTAAGCCTCCGGTGAAGCTGCGTTGGCGCCGTATCTTATCGGAGGCGTGTTGCAGCAAGTGGCCGTGTCACGCCGGGCTAACCAGTGACGAGGCGACGCTGCGCAGGTTCGTGCGCAGTGGTTGCCACTTTAGTACTAAAACCAAGAGAATAACGTGGCATCTGTGGATTGAAGATTATTAATGACGATTGATTGACTGATATGTAACATTTAACGTCCCAAATCTATATGATAATGACAGACGCCGTAGTCAAGGGCTCCATTAATTTTGACCACGTGGTATTTTTCAACACGCACCGAAATCTGAGCACACGGGCCAACAGCAATTTCGCCTTCATTGCAAATGCAGCCACCCCTTCGGGATTCAAAATCGCGATCTGCGAGTCAGCAGCCGAGCACCTTAGCCACTATACCAACGCGTCGGGGCAAGATTAATAACAAGTGGCTGTGATAATGTACATATAGAGTGACGGCAAGAGCACGGATGTCTCGTGAACATTCTCTCAGAATTATAATTGAGTTGCGTTTGTGATCGGATTGTAAGGAAAATAGTTGTTGGGGCTTCACTTCCCAAAATCACGATAATATTGTGAGAGACACCGTAGTGGAGGGCTCCGGAAATTTTGACTCCATAGGGTTCTTGAATATGCCCCTAAATTTAAGCACGCTGTTTTCAGACATTTCCCCCTCTATAGAAAATGCCGATGTCACGGGCGAGATGCGATCCTGTGGCCTACGGGTCAGAAGCCCAGTGCCTTATCCCCTATACCACCACGGCGGGTTTGTAATAATATCAAGGGTATAAAAACCCTCAAGTGGTTGAAAACCTACTTCAGTATTGTGGTACTCGAAACAACTTAACAACTTCTTGGCATTCTGAGTCTACCAGACTTACCAAACGCCAAAACCGCACACTAACGCACATGCTTCCTATGTACATTTCTTACGACCACACCGATTGGGACATCACCCTCCTGTTCGTCACCTTCGCCTACAACTCGGCGCATTATGAAACTGAGGGCTACTCACTATTTGGTGTTCTCTATGGCCGTGATACTTTACTATATTTTTGACACCGTCCTTCCGACTGACCCTCCACCCAGCGTTTCATACGGTCAAGCTGCCGTCACCCATGCTGTCATGGCACGTACAATAAATAGCCCGCGCTCGGTTCTCGTCTTCACCGACAGCACAAAGGGCGCTTTATAAGAGTCGACACAAAGGTGCCGATTTTCCTCCTGGCTATTTTGTGCCTCCCTGGCTCTCGCTCAGTCGTGTTGGCTTATGCGAGAAGCTTTTATAGTGATACGTTGGGCCCTACCGAGTTGTGCGGCAGATGACACATGTCACCTATGAGATTCCCCGACCATGAACTGATCGACGGTTGATTGATTTGTGGGGTTTAACGTCCCAAAACCACCATATGATTATGAGAGACGCCGTAGTGGAGGGCTCCGGAAATTTTGACCACCTGGGGTTCTTTAACGTGCACCCAAATCTGAGCACACGGGCCTCGACATTTCCGCCTCCATCGGAAATGCAGCCGCCGCAGCCGGGATTTGAACCCGCGACCTGCGGGTCAGCAGCCGAGTACCTTAGCCACTAGACCACCGCGGCGGGGCACTGATCGACGGTTGTCAATGTGAAAACTTACATTGTGATTTTTTGTCAGCTTAAGCCCTACAACGAAAACACGCCCTTCTAACATAATGGACTCTGAAGTGGTGCTTTCTGACAAGGTTAACGTCAATGATATCAAAATATACCTCTGGCACGAGCACCAAAGGGGCACTGAATGAATGAAGATGACGACGTCGCTGTGGGGCGGAGTCTGAGCTGGCCTGTTGTGCTGCATTCATGTGCGCTGTGTGTAGTGTTGTCCCGACCGGTGCTATCTTATGAAATACTTCCCGTACCAATATTTCCCTTACTACACGACAAAAAACGTGTCCATCAACGCAGTAGCACGAGGCGTCATAAGATGATAATCCTATCGTCTGGTAATTCGATATTGCCTCATCCCTTGGCGTAAACCGGATTAATGTACACTCTGAAAACCTCTCCTATGGCTTTGTCGGAGCGGTTATTGAATGTCACGTATAAGGAGCTAATGCTTTGCTACACGCGTTCCGTCAGTACGAGAACGTTAAAGATTTAACGTACAAATAAAAACCTCTATTAAAGCGGTGGGGCCACCATTTTTGTGGCTTGCGCGTTCTCCACTGCAAGCGTTTCTTGTAGCTCCATGAAGGAACCATTATGCATGAACCGAGATTCAATTATTTTGGTTCAGTAAATTGTTGTCGCCTTTTAAATGAAGACAGTTTTGGTTTCGACTTCTTGGCGTCGAACTGGACTGTGACGTAGATATATGTTTGGTCAGCTGACCACATATGGTTGTGACGCACTTCGTGCTGATTATCGTCTGTCCTGGTTGGCGTTTTCGCACACACGTGCCGCACATGCACTTGCAAAACAAACGGTAGCAGCCGCGATACCTCGCCGGACCAGGTACGTATGTGGTGGAAGTCTCCGAAGGTCATTCACATCACTAAAATCGGCGTGCGTACGGGAGGGGGGTAAGGGGCCGGTCACTTCCTTAGGCACCTACGAGGGCGGGGGCAGACACAGCCCGACACATTGACATGATAGTGAGGAGGCGCTTTGATTTAGTGAGAGGGCGCGAAGTTAGACCCATGCATTGATATAATAAAGAGGGGATACGCTGCGATGAACCTTCGTTCTCCTTGGAGGGAAAACCTACACACGCCTATGCATACTACAGATCTCGCGTGACGTAACTGCAACTTTCGTCACCATTCCTACAGAACTACGACAGTTCTGGGTGTGTTTGCGATGGGCTTCGGTCGCGAGAATGACCACTCAGGTACTCTTTGGAGGCGAATCAAAATATGTTCTAAACAAGAGCTTAATTTGGGCGAGTTGCATGTAAGGTCTATAATTTAGTATGCTTGTGTTATCTGGGACTCGGCTCAAAAATATCTTGCAGAAACAATAGAAAAAACTCAAAACTAGGCAGCCCACTTAGTTGGCAAAAATTACGACCCATTCGCTAGTATATCAGATATAAAGGCCACATTAAGCTGGGAAACTCTACAATCTAGTAGATGGAAACTTCTACTAAACCTTCTGCACAGTATATACTATAACCTAACACCAATTGAGAAGTCAGAATACCCACTAGCACAAACATATCGTTATACAAGAGGCGAACACACACATAAAATACGAGAATACGCATTCAAAACCACAACTTTCGCCAACTCCTTCTTTTTAAGAACAATTAGAGACTGGAATGAACTTCCCGATGATATCGTAAACTTGAATACCAACAGTCCTTTTTTTTCATTGTTGTGACATTGTGACATGCCTATTCACTTTTAGTACCTGTTTGACACGTGTCATATTGTATTAAATGTTTTTTCATGGCGTGCTGTAAATATTGTATGTTGTTTTATTTTCCAGAATGTTTAAAGAATCACTAAAACAAAATGTTAGTAAACATATTCAACTTTGTATACCGCTCTGCAGTAATGCCACTATGGCGTTGCAGGAACTCTGTAAATAAATAAAAAAATGAATAAGTTGGAACACAACTATATTCTAAACGCTTGCTGTGCCCGACTGTTCGTTGTGTAGTGTCCTAGCATACAGAAGAAAACCACAAGAGGCTTGTATTAGTCTCGAAATTCGGTGGTACCCCCCTTGTCTTGTAGCATGTCTTGTCTCGAAATTCGGTGGTACCATCCTTGGAACACCCAGTGATGCTGGAGCTGTAGGTAGGTGCAGTCACTAATGCCGCTCAGTTTGGAATCATTCGTGCCTACCTGAGAACGCTACACCCGCCGAGGTGAAGCTGACGGACCACGCCGTCTGCTGCCTGCTGGCCTCAAACTTTGCCAAGAAGTTGACGAACAGGAAACCTATGGTGCGTAGGGTCGCACCCGTCATGAACGTTGTGGCCAAGCACGCAGCACCTATGACCCATTGATCTAGGTTGCTCGTCCAAGACAATGGCTGTTTGCGGCTGCAAGCCACACCGGCTTGAACAATCACGGCAGGGCGGCAAATCTTCCACGTGGGCAGTTTTGTGCTTGCTTCGGCTGCGTCATGAATAAAAAGAGAGCACTCAATGCAATACTTTTCGCCTTATAATAATAATAATAATAATAATAATAATAATAATAATAATAATAATAATAATAATAATAATAATAATAATAATAATATAATAATAATATAATAATAATATAATAATAATATAATAATAATAATATAATATATAATAATAATAATAATAATAATAATAATAATAATAATAATAATAATAATAATAATAATAATAATAATAATAATAATAATAATAATAATATACGGTTTAACGTCGCGAAACCAGAGACGCCGTAGTTGAGCGCTCGCAATATTAGGACCATCTGTTATTCCAGGAATGAAGTCGTTGCACTAGAATCGATCGGAAAGAAGGCGTCGGCAATCAAATCGGGTGGAAAATCAGCAAAGGTAAGTCACTAAATAAACAAAACAATAAATAAAGTCTAAATAGGTGATTTAGAACTTTATATATTTACATCACTTAATAAATTGTCGAATCTTGGAATAAGATACAGAGCAAGGCTTGAAACAACAAATTCGCACGATTATGAAGACTAATGTGGTTGTTTTTACGCTGTTTCCAAGCTTTAGCCAGGTGATGCTAGGTTGTTTCTACGTTGATTCTCAGCACAGAGAGGTGCGAACTAAAACGCAGTCACGAACACTACACGGGTACAACGTCGTCGGTGTGGGGCTCCTGTCACTTCGCTGTCTTCTCTCAAGCGATTCTCGCAACCGCCGTTTCTTTTACCGTTCGATAGAGCTTTCATTGTATGTATTCAAAGTCTTCCGCCCAACGCCGTTGCTTTGCAGCCATTTGTGGGGCCGGTCACGGCTACCTTCACAGAGTGGAAGTTGTGCTTAGCGGCACTGCACTAATTGTGGTGCATAGTTGTTTAAAATTATAATAGTTTTCTGACAGGCCGCACAAATTTATGTGGAACATAAACCAGATTAACCTAAGTTTCGTGGCCCTAAATGTTTGAGATAATGCAATTTTTTAACGGGGTGAACAAAGAGTGATTTCTAAAGAGACGCGCCGTTCATATATAAAGCAACTGTATAATTTACTGATTCATCTATTTGTATGGAACATCGTATACTTTCATACAGGTAAGACATCAGATACTGACTCAAGAGATAATTATATCCTGTGTTTTACGTCCCGAAACCATGACGTGATTACGACGGACGCTGTTGTGGAGGGCGGAGTAAAGTTAGACCATCTGGTGTTGTTTACTACAATTCAATCTCAAGTTTCATCAAGCCACTTTAATCAAGAAGTCAAATACCAGGCGGCCTTGATTTTCGAACTCGTAAATTCTCGATGCTTATGGAAGGAATATTTTGCTCGTTACTGAAAGCATAAAAAGAACAGCGTCATCTTGAGTATGTGTGCAAATGGCCACTAAACTTGTAGCTGCTAACTTCAGACACATTGCGCCAACTCTTAAATCCACTCTTAAACCCGATGTCACAATTTTAGTTGATCACCTAGTATTTCCTTCTGCTTTCATATCTTTCTTGCCTCTATACATATCACTAGCTCGTGCATTTTTTCGGTACTTATTGACCCTGATAAAAAAATCAGAAAGCAGGAAAGCATAAATATACGCAAACCACATTTGGTTTGTCTCTCAACTATCAACTACTATTATTTGTATTTTTGTTGTGCCGCTATAAGAATCAATGACAACTATCATAAACTGCACTTGTCAGTGTTTTTTCATGCACTTGATGTATCGGCCCATAATGCATTGTCACTCACTTCAAAGTCTTGTACAGATGATTAGAGGTGGTCATAAATACTTCACTGAAAGAGGGGTAAAATCACGCTACTTTATGCCATGCAATTATCAGCTTGAGACTGACCAAGTGTCATATATTTGTCCATCTTCTACGTGTTATGTTGTAGTCAAATACGGCGAATGCTTAATCTATCATTTGTGTCATGCATTAGAAGGCAGTATAAATTAGGTGCAGTAATTGTGTTTCCTGAGCCAGAGATCAACCAATATTTTCACTTTGAAATTGTTGCGGTCAGACAAGTGAAACAACGCCGCAAACCAATTGAATATACGTGCCTGCCCAGTGATACAAAGTTATGTATGTCGAGATATCCACTAAAGAAAGACCATTATTTTGCCCTCGTTTTTGTTCCAGCTCATTGAAGAAGAAGATTTTACAGCCTAAGTAACGCAAACCATTCAGCACAGATTGACCGTCAATGCTATTTGAGCGTGAGGTGGGTCATTAAAGCCTCAAAACTTTTTTAAAAATTTGCACTTTAGGTGTATTTACCTTCTTTTTTTTCTGGCAGCTATCACATGGACCTCGGTAGCACACATTGGCTGTTTTTAGCTGCCGTCGCCGTGTTGTTTCATGTAAACTTAAGCTTAATAGCACAGTCCCACGTGTCGTATTTGCAAAGGTTGAGTGACATTGTGAGAGTCTGGCCGACGACACCCGTTTAAGTTGGAAGATAAAGAGCCCGCCGTGTTTTATCGTACTTAAGGTTCGTGGGGGGCGTTGATGAGAGAGCAGCGTGGGAAGGCCTTTCTTCGGCAAAAAATGAGTGCTTTTATCTGCGAGATGTGTGAGCCTGCTTAAACGCCAAGTTTTTACCTTAGTGCATACCATATTGTGACCACTAAGTTTGCGCTGAACTGATAGACAGCGTGACGGTCGCTTCTCTCGCGACACAGGCAGCATTTCTTAATTACGTCTTTGTTTTGTTCAGTTACACGCGATCAGATGCTGCAGGTGTTCGCTGCTAGCCTTCATTGCTTCATACCGTATAAAACTACAATTAGATCAATCTATTGTTTGACCTTTGACCCCAAACTTCAATTTTTTTCTTAGTTTTGTTTCACAGAAAAAAGTTTTTGTTCCAGTGACAGTACGGCCTTACTTTTCGAGCTGGTAGGGGTGTATACACATGCTACAAAAGCTAAGAGCGACTCATTGCGCTCACTAGACGCAATCCCAACGCAGCGGCTGAGCCTAACCTGGCGCCTGTATTTTATGACGCTTGGTGGCACTTAAAAAAATGTAGTTCGTATACAGTGCCCTTGATAATCTGCTGCGCGATGGCTCACAGCTGCTGGGCTGCATTCACTCATCTCTTCTCCCAGGCTGTACATTGCACACTTCCACCTTTATTTGCCCAGCTTACTCTAACAACGCCACGTTTCTCTTCTGCGTGACAACACAAAACAGAGCAAAAACATTGAGCAGCATGAGCAAAAATAGGACGGTAAAGTACTGGGCCACCCCGAAGAAAGTGATTGGAATAACTATGGTGGTGATCTGCTACAAGGAAGACATATATAGCCTATCATTGGGAAGAATAGGGGCGCCCTGAATGGGGTGTTGATCTGTAATAAAATGGTGAAATTCGACGCATGATGTTTACGATAGTTGTCACCAAGGCGTATAATCAACTTTAGAACAAAAAGTGCGAAGCACACATATAGATTCTTCCCTCTGTTAATGGTCTTTAGTAATCAAGTCCTTCACTATTGCAATGTTTTTTACTTTTTGTTTTATGTTCCGTGCTTGATAGCTACTTGCTAGTACAAACGAATGCAAAGTCGTTGTTCATTAGTTCTACAATCAACCTGCGTTGACAATACGACTCAACTGAGGAGCGCAGCTGCCGTTACGGCGGCGTGACTTCTAACATTTTTACTTTGGCGTAAATGCGATATAATGTAAGCACAGGGTCTCCATTTATTGCAAAGAACTGAGGACGTTTTCTAATACTCACTTTCCACTGCCTATCGTTATTATTTTTCAAATCAGCTCGTTAAGAGCTTGAGAACCGTAGGTATCCTATATACATGACATTTTTTCAAGAACATGTCCAAAATAGATGATGAGCGTACGCTACAGACGCCGAAAACCCTACACACTGGACGTTACCTTCCTATGATTGCAAGTATATAGCCACGCAGCCAATATTGCGTGAAGAGAGTTTTATGATTCAGAAACAATTAACGTGTCTTCAATAAGCAGATTTCAAGTTGCGAAAGCATGCGGGAAAGATATGCTGGTCGTCCCGATTGGTTCTGATACCGTGAAAACTAACACTATTAAGAACGTTCCGTTGGTGCTTGTGGCTAACTTCTTCAGGAAGTAAAAAAATGTGGTTTGAGCAGATTTACGCATGCACACGAAAGCCGTTAGATGCAAGCGGTGGTGGAGGTGGTGGTTGTGATGTTGCAACACGTGGGGTTAGCCTGTTCTGCATGGTCAGAAATTGATCCTGTGCACCTCTTAAGTTTATTCAAGTGCACAGACTTGAGATTCCACTATTGGATTTTGCAATGTGATGCCTCAAAAGTTCCAACTTTTCAACGTCTGCCAGCGATGTTCATGTTCGTTAATGGAATCTTATAAAAGCGTTTAAAAGTTTTTGGAACAAGGTTATGGAAATATAAGGCACAGCAATAAATTGGATCCAATTTCGATTTGCACATTCGATTCACGAGTCTCAAGCGTTATCTCGTTTCCATTCTACCCCTGTTACTACACCCTATAATGTGATTCTTCGACAACGTTGCACTGTCTCCAGCTTTTACTATACGCTCCCGCAGCAAACTGGCAATAACTGCGTTGTTCCTACTATACCTATTTCGCCCTGCAATTTCTGCATACATTTTTGAATCTTCACGTTAACCAAAACAGTACAAAAAAACTCGATACATCATTCTCTTGTTGTTTAACACGATTCTATGACAGAGCGCTGTTCTCGCCTCGCCTTTCGTTTCTCGTTTCTTCTAACACATTCGTGCTTGCGCTGCAACCCTTATTACCATGGAATTTAACCAACTAGCCCA